GCTGCACCGGGGCACGGACCCCATCGCGGCTAAGGGCACTGTGCAGTCGGGGGATGCAGGAGAGAATTGCTCCAGGAGCTCGAGGCTGAGTCGGGGTGTCCTGCTCAGGGAGGCAGGGATGCCGGGAGCAGTCAAACAGGGATGCTAGGACTAGCAGAGGAGGGTGCCAGGGACAGCAGAGGAGGGATGCTGGAGTAGCGGACCAGGCCTGCACATCCTGAATGGAGTGCATGAGGCACATCTCCAGCTCTCAGCCTGCTCCTCACGGAGCACTTCTGCCAACACGGGTTTTGCAGCACAGGGTTGGGACTGTGTAGGCCAGGGAATCTGTGTTGCCTCAGAAACTGCTGCTATTCATTGCCAGCCCTTACCTGGCTGCCACCTACCACCCTTGTGTCCCCAAGGCCCCTAACCCCATGAAACTGCTTATCTGGCTCTGGAGCAGCAGGCAGAGGGGTTTGCCCATGCTGATTGCCCCTCATGGGTTAAGTGTGTGTACCTGTCAGCTGAGCTCCTCACTGGACTGCTGTTGCACAGGGAAGGGGCTGAGGCTGCCAGGGACCCCGGCAGAGTAGCTGAGCCAGGCTCTGCTCCCCTTACTGCTGGTGGACAGGCCCAGCCAGAGTCCATTGAACTGGTGGCCCCTAGCGAGGGCAGGGGCCAGAGGGATGCCAAATCTGGCTTTTGATCCAGCATGGTGCCTGTGCATGGCTGAGAGCAACGACAGCTATGGGGAGTCCCTCAGGAGGTCACCCAAAGGAAAATGTCCTCTCTGGGACCACTGACCAGAGCAGGTCCGGTGTGGGTGACTGTGAGGCACTGGCACCAGCTAGAGCCCGCCCTGGAGCAGGCTGGGCAGAGCTGTGCCAGGATGTGACCCTGCCTCCCCTCCGCAGCGCGAGTGCATCTCCGTGCACGTCGGCCAGGCCGGCGTCCAGATGGGCAACACGTGCTGGGAGCTGTACTGCCTGGAGCACGGCATCCAGCCCGACGGGCAGATGCCCAGCGACAAAACCATCGGCGGGGGGGACGACTCCTTCACCACCTTCTTCTGTGAGACTGGGGCTGGCAAGCACGTGCCACGGGCCATCTTCGTGGACCTGGAGCCCACCGTGATTGGTGAGTGCAAACTAACTGGGCTCTGATAGTGGTCATTATTTTGGGCAACAGCCCATTGCAGGATGCTCCTTGGAGTTCACACAGCCTGAGGTGCCCCCAGGGGTGGGTAGCAGTCAGCTGGTGCTCGTGGTCTTCTGACAATATCCTGCAAGGGGTTCGACCCCAGGCTCCTTTTTTTTTCCCCAGGAGAACCACAAACATGAGCACCTGCTTTTGTTCTTGAAGTGTCCTAGAGTCAGCGGTGCTTGTACCACATGTGCACAGAGAGAAACCAGCCCAACCGGCACGGCAGCTCCTGCTGCGCTGTGGGCAGGCAGCTCCTGAAGGGTGGGAGAAGCTGAGCTGCGCAGGGAGGTGGCAGCCACCTCCTCATGCCAGAGAAACTTGATGCTGGTGTTGGCTCTGCTGACGTGTGGGTCCTTGGCCATGCCACGGGGGCAGGCGGAGCCAAGGTGAGGGATGGCTGCTAGCACCCACGTGTCTGCCTGGCGGCCGGCTCAAAGCAGCTGCCTCCCCTGGGCTCAACCTGCCCCTGTTCTCTCCTAGATGAGGTTCGGGGAGGAGTCTACCGGCAGCTCTTCCACCCTGAGCAGCTCATTACTGGCAAGGAGGATGCTGCCAACAACTACGCCCGTGGGCACTACACCATTGGCAAAGAGATCATTGATCAGGTGCTGGACAGGATCCGTAAGCTGGTGAGTGACTGCAGAGAGGGGCTGTATCTCCCTGGACTGGGGCTCAGAACACACTACAGGCCATGCGGCGCCCTGAGTGGGATATGCAGCTGACCAGGGCAGGGATACACCAGGTCCTGAAGGGACTTATGGACAGCCGGACTGTCACAAGAAATGTGTCTCAGAGTAATCTCTCCTCATCTCTCTCCACAGGCTGACCAGTGCACAGGCCTCCAGGGATTCCTGGTGTTTCACAGTTTTGGAGGTGGCACTGGCTCTGGATTCACCTCCCTGTTGATGGAGCGACTCTCCGTTGATTATGGCAAGAAGTCCAAGCTGGAATTCTCCATCTACCCAGCACCACAAGTCTCCACTGCTGTGGTAGAGCCCTACAACTCCATTCTCACCACCCACAGTACATTGGAGCACTCGGACTGCGCTTTCATGGTGGACAACGAGGCCATCTACGACATCTGCCGCCGCAACCTGGACATCGAGCGCCCAACCTACACCAACTTGAACAGACTCATCAGCCAGGTTGTGTCTTCCATTACGGCGTCACTACGGTTTGATGGAGCCCTGAATGTGGATCTGACCGAGTTCCAGACCAACCTGGTGCCCTACCCTCGCATTCACTTCCCCCTGGCCACCTATGCTCCTGTGGTTTCTGCTGAGAGGGCTTATCACGAGCAGCTGTCGGTTTCCGAAATCACCAACTCGTGCTTTGAGCCGGCTAACCAGATGGTGAAGTGTGACCCTCGCCATGGCAAGTACATGGCGTGCTGCCTGCTGTACCGCGGGGACGTGGTGCCCAAGGACGTCAACGCCGCCATCGCCACCATCAAGACCAAGCGCAGCATCCAGTTTGTGGACTGGTGTCCCACGGGCTTCAAGGTGGGCATCAACTACCAGCCCCCCACGGTGGTGCCAGGGGGGGACCTGGCCAAGGTGCAGCGCGCCGTCTGCATGCTCAGCAACACCACGGCCATCGCCGAGGCCTGGGCTCGCCTGGACCACAAGTTTGACCTGATGTACGCCAAGCGCGCCTTCGTGCACTGGTACGTGGGCGAGGGCATGGAGGAAGGGGAGTTCTCCGAGGCACGGGAAGACATGGCCGCTCTGGAGAAGGATTACGAGGAAGTGGGCCTGGACTCCTACGAGGATGAAGAAGAGGGTGAGGAGTAAAGAAGCCTCAGCCAAAAAAGGACCACGCTCCTTCCCTGTGTTACCTGCAAACCCTTTGCAATAAACCGTTTCAGAGCCTCTGTGTGTCCCAGTATCACCCCCGCTGTATCGGTTTCTTGCCAGGTCAGGTGTGTGGTGAGTGCTTCAGCCCTGCTACTGGTGCTGCTATGCTTCCTCCCAGTGCTCTGCTCCAGCTCCAGCTTGCTACCTGTGCAGGTAAGAGCCCTGGGGTCTAGTCCCTGGTGCCGTGGCACACATCCCACCCCACTCGTTGCTCCAGCCAGGGGTGGGAACTGCTTCCTCATGTGATATATGGCCCCGCGTTCTATCCTGGAGCTCAGGAGAGCAGATTTAGTCTGAGCAAGAAAAGAACGGCAGCTTTTAGGTCTTCTCCTCAAGTGCAGCCCAAGGGTAGGTGGACTTGCCTGGAAAGATAGTGGTTGAAGCACTGGGAGCAATGCAGCCCTGCCCCTGTGGTCACCATCCAGGGCAAGGAGTGTGCCCGGTGTCTGGTGCAGTGGGTGCACCCTGCAATGGCACCCAGCATGGCACGGACCCTGCAGCTGCTGTACTGCTGTGTGTGGTGAGAGGATTAAAGGAGGGCAATGCTCCCTGTCAAACTGCTTGTCTGCATCTCATTTTTTACCCCCTCTCTGTGGGTAGCCCACCTGCTGGTGCCCCAATGAGCCCCTCTAGCCAAGGCTCCCCCCTGGGCTGGGGGTGTTCTCAGGTTGGGGTGGTTGTGCAGTCCCCATGCTCTGCATACCCCTACCAGAGCAGAGCTGCTGCTCCTGCCTCCCAGGGTCCGGCAGCTTCCCAGTCTGGGCATCTCCCTCCCCTTCACGGGCAGCAGAGTTCTGCCTGTACCCGTGCCGCTGCCTGCCTGCCTGTGCAGATCCCTATCCTGCAGTGCCCAGCTCTGGAGGCTCTGAACAGCAGTGTCTGGCTCCAGCTGTAGTTGTGTTAGCTCCCAATAGGAGCATTCTGGGGCCAGGGATTAACTTTCCCTGCTTACTGCTAATGCTCTGGCTATGCTGCCCCAGCTGGCCTCCGCTGCCCTTCGCCTCCAGCAACGCTTGGCTGCCTAACCCAGACAGCCCGGCTCTTCCCATGCCCCGGCAGAACCCCTCCCTGCAGACAGGGACACAGCCACAGCTCTGCAAGAACATACTTTACTTCAAACACAAGGCAACATCGGTGCCAGGAGCAATGGCAGGGTGGGCACTCCCTCTGCCTCCCTCCAGCACAGCACCGGGGTCCGGCCCACAGCTCTGCTCCGGGCAGCAGCAACCTTCCTGGGGCACAGAGCTGCAGGACAGCGGCTCCATCCCCAGGAGGGGTCCCACAACATCCTCTTCTGCCACCCCCAGGGAAGGCAGCAGCTGGCAAGGGACCCATGTTTAGCAGCAGATCACATGTCCACAGCACAGGGGCACAGACCAAGGCCCAGGCAGCAACATCCAGGGCACAGAACACTCCAAATCCAACACACCTCCGGCATAGAGCAGCAGCTCTCCCCCAGGGCATCAATCCCCTCTGCAACAGGTCTGCAGGGCAGCAGGGATTAGGGCAGCTGCTTTTCCCCTGGCTCAGCCTCAGGACGTGTCATCACTGGAAGGGGATGGGCTCAGATCTGTGTGGTGTCCTGCCCTGCTGGTGCTGGCTGCAGCCCCTCCAGCTGGTGGATGATTTCATTTATGCTGGGTCTCTCCTGGGGGTTCACTGTCATCATGGAGAAGAGCAGGCGTTGCAAGGCAGCCGAGTATCTGGAAGAAAGAGCAGAGGGAGGACCCATGTGGTGCACAGGACAGGGGGCCACACAGGAACGGGGTCACCCTCCCCAGCCCCTCACCTGGTCGTGGAGGGCAATGTGAGGGGGTTCTGAACCGCCAGAGCCACACTGTCACCCTTCTGGAAGATGGCATCATAGGGGCCCTCTCCAAACATCATGCAGTAGAGCACACAGCCTAAGGACTGGAGCGAGGTGGTGTCAGTGCAGCGCTGTAGCAGTGGGATGGGGGAGGCCAGAGGGCTGGATCCTTACCCAGATATCTGTACGCTCGTCTATCACACACTGGCTCGGCACTGTGAAGAGCTCAGGGGCACGGTAGGAGATGGTGCAGCGCTGGGCAGCCCAGTCCTGCAAAGGGGAGGATGGGGATGAAGGGACTGGAGTAGGGACAGGCTCATGGGGTGACGTCCCAGGGCACCCACCTGCACAGCCATGGCCTCCCGAGAGCTGTTGACTTCGATGCGAGCTTGGTTCATGGAGCCCAGGTCCATCAGCACAGGCTGGTCATCCTCATCCAGCAGCACATTGGTGGGCTTGAGGTCCCTGTGGGGATGGACATCACTGAGTGCCCACCGGGGCCCCTGCCAGTCCCCCAGCCAGTGCTGCCACCCCTCACCTGTGTGCATAGCCCTTGCTGTGGATGGCCTGCAGCCCACGGCAGATCCCATGGAGGATGAGGAGGATCCGCTGCTCTGGCATGAAGGTGCCTTTCTCTCGCAGTGCTTCCACCTCTCTCCAGAGGGTTCCGCCCTGGCAAACACAAGCAGCTGGTCACCACCGCTGCTCCAGGGGTGGTGGGGCAGCCAGGAAAGCCCTCCTCACCTGCACATAGGGCAGGAGAAGCCAGGCTTCGTGCTTGGTGCCCTTCTCCACCATGCAGTGGGCCACCAGGCGCAGGATGTTGGGGTGGTCGAAGAGGCCGTGCATCTCCACCTCGTGCAGGGCGGCCTGGCGGTCCTCCTTGTCGTGGCACAGGATGCGCTTCAGGGCGTAGAAGCGCCCGTCCCGCAGCCCCTCCACCAGATCCACATAGCTGAAGCCCCTGCAAGGAGTCAAGAACAGCGTGGGTTGGGGGGCTGTGACATCCATGCTGGGGCCTTGTGCCCAGTCTCATCTACAAGCACCCAGGGGAGGGGGGCAGAGGGCAGCATGAATTCCCCAGGTGTGCACATCTCCCCATCTTGCAGGCACCTGTGAGAAACCCAAAGCATCCCCTCTCTGTATAAAAAACCCCACTGGCTCAAACATCCCCACTCGCACAGTTCCAAACACCCACTTCTGAGAATGACCAACCCCTCCCTGTCACTCAGCAGGAGAATCATTTGTCATGCACAAGCACCCCCAATGCTGAAGCATCATCCCTTACCAAGCCCAAGTACTACCCCAAGCCCCAAGGTGACCTGAGCAACAAGCATCTCCCCACCCTGCCCGAGCATCCCGTGCCTGAGTATCACCCCATGCCCAAGCAGGTCCTCATGCACAACCATCTCCCATGCCTGAGCATCTCCCCACCACGCCTGAGCATCACCCCAATGCCAAATCACCTCCCATGCACAAGCACGCCCAAGCATCCCCCCCCCCACGCCCGAGCACGCCCTCGGACCCCCCTTGCCCGAGCATCCCTCCCGGAGCTCGGGGACCCCCGCCCGAGCCCCCCGCGCCCCAGCCGGCCGCGCACCCCTCTGCCAGGCGGTGGAGCAGGAGGTACCGCGCTCCCCCCAGGCTGACGGTGCCCCGGGAACAGACGCACAGCGTCTGCCCCATCGCACGACCGCGTCATCGCCCGGGGCCGCCGCGCGTCACCGCCCGTCACCGCCGCGTCACCCGGCGGGCGGGGCCGCACCGCCTCCGCTCCGATGGCCCGAGCTGCCGTCCCTCCGCCTTGCGGCGGGCTCGTCCTGTCCTGCAGCACCGCCCGGCACCCCTGCCACTAGCTGTGTCACCAGCTCTAGCCCTCAGCCTGGGGACGGTTTCCTTCCCCTCACCCGGCAGCAACAGCCCTCAGTTTCCATCACCACCGCTCTGATGGAGCAAGCGGACTGAGTTCAATGGAAGGCTTCTGCCTGATGGTGACGCTTTTACAAGGCTCCTTGTCCCCTCACTTTGATTGTCACTCCCCACCCCACTGGGCACCAGAGGTGTGCCCGCCGGCCGGAGCTGCATTCCCTGCTGGGGTGGGCTTTGCGGGGCTGGCCACACCTGGAGGATCGGAGCCGCCCATCCCTTTCCCGTGGTCCCGCCCCAGCTGTTCCAGCTGCCCGCACTCGGGACCGGGAGAAGGAAGCGCTGGCCGAGATCCTTCCCGGATCATGTGATGGTGGAGCCACGTCCAACCTCGTCCCCATCGCGGGCCCGCTGAGCCCCCGGCGAGGATGGCACTGCCGGCCCTGGGCCTGCTGCTGGCAGCGGGGCTCCTGCACACGCAGGTTAGCAAACAGGGTGGAGAGTTTGGGCGAAGCGCACGGGACTGAACTCTGAAGGAGCGGGTGGGCCGCCTCCCGAATCTGCCTTCCCGATCGTCTCCCTGCTCGTCATGCTGTAGCTCCCTCCTGCAGCTGCCCATGTCCTGCCACAGTATCCCAGCTTGCATTCCCAGCTCCTTCCCTGCCCTCGCAGCACCCACCCCAGCAGCACCGTCCCCACAAAAGCCACCAGCCCTGCCGGGGTGTTTGATTAGCGGGAGGCTCAGCTCCTCCCTCCTGCTCTCCCAGCACAGTTTGGCACCCATTTCGGGAGAGGGCACCTCCAAGAACCAGCCCCGTCAGTGCCTGTCCCGGGAAGCACAGGAGGGGCGGCTGGGCTCGGGGAGGTTCTGCAGGTCTCCAGCTCTTCCCTTTTCCTGCAGGCCTCCCCTTCAGCACGCTCCTTCCAGCTGGATTACGAGCACAACTGTTTCCTCAAGGACGGTGCCCCTTTCCGCTACATCTCGGGCAGCATCCACTACGCCCGCGTCCCGCGCCCTGCCTGGAGGGACCGGCTGCTCAAGATGTACATGAGCGGGCTCAGCGCTGTGCAGGTGTAAGCCATGGCGGTGCACAGGCCCACAGCCACCACACCTTTCTGGGATCACTAGGAACAGAGACAAGGGTGTTGTCTGACCACAGGGAACAAGCACCAACATTTGCACTTGGCTGTGAACCCCCAGACCACCCTTGCCAGACACAAGCATGAGTGTGGGCTAGTTCCAGTCCAGCCTGAGTTGCCATACTCAGCTCAGGCTGCAGGCCAGCTCGCAGAAGCAGAGGGACCAGCTGGTGGGATGGTTCCCTGTCGTGCTGGGGTGTCCTTAGCTCCTGCATGCTGATCTCTCCTCTCCAGCTACGTCCCCTGGAACTACCATGAGACACTGCCAGGAGTTTATGACTTCACTGGGAACCGGGATGTGGAGGCCTTCCTGGACCTGACAGCTGAGCTGGGACTTCTGGTGATCCTGCGGCCGGGGCCCTACATCTGTGCAGAGTGGGAGATGGTGAGCCCTGGCCCCAGCCTGGCACAGAGACGTGACGGGGGGTCTGGAAAGGGCACAGCAGGGTTGGCCCTTCTGGCTGTCACACTGCCTCCAGTGCCATGCCCGCTGTGCCCAGGCTGCTGCCCCAAAGGCCACAGGCCGTGCTGGTGCCAAGCACTAGCATTGCACTGGCTGAGTTCAGCAGTGTGCAGCCTGAAACTGAGCAGTTTCGCAGTTTCTCTGCCTCCCCCTCTGCTGTGTGTGTTTCTCCAGGGTGGCTTGCCTGCCTGGCTGCTGTGGAAGCCAGACATCATCCTGCGCACTTCCAACCCTGGTGAGGCTCAGCATAGGGCTCTGGCCATGTTGTCCTTACAGCCTGATGCCAGTCCTGGCATTGTCTCCACACACCTGCCAGCTCTGCCTCTGTGGTCTTTCCCATCATCTTCTCCATCCTCTGAGAGCCCCATAGTTTGTGCTCCATCTCAATTTCCCCATCTCACTTGACCCTGCCCCATCTGCTGTGTCTTCCTTCTGCCCGGCTTGGCTGCAGGCGGATGCTGCAGCCAGGCCCTGTCCTGCCTCTGTCCCTCCAGCCTACCTGGCAGCTGTGGACTCCTGGCTCCATGTTCTGCTGCCCAAGATCAAGCCACGCCTGTACCACCAGGGAGGGAACATCATCAGTGTGCAGGTAAGGTGCTGTGAGGCCCAGCCCCGTGCCCTGCTCTGGGTCATCTTTGGATGTACCCCAAAAAGCCACCAGTATCCCCTACACAATGACCTTACCCAGCAAAACTGAGATAAATCCCTCCCACCTTCTGGACCTAGATTTAAATCCAAGGGCTGGGAATCTGAGGCACCACAGATGTGGTTTGTGGGACACTGACAGAGCTGGAGCTCATGGTGGGACTGGAAGGCTTTGCTCAGGACCCCCAGGAGGGGTTGTCAGGACATCTGATGATGTCCAGAGGAAAGGGGGGAGGTTGGTGCTCATCCCAGTAGGCAGTGGGACCTGTCTGCAGCCCTGCCATGTGTACACTGTGTGCCAGTCCCTGCCCTGCTCACAGGTGGAAAATGAATATGGGAGCTACTACGCCTGTGACCATGGATACCTGCGGCACCTGCTGGGCTCCTTCCGGGCGCTGCTGGGCAGCGAGGTGCTGCTCTTCACCACAGACAGCACGGGAGCCCAGGAGCTGCGCTGCGGCACCCTGCAGGGGCTCTACGCCACCGTCGACTTCGGGCCAGGTATCCTGGGGGGGAGGAGGAGAGAGGATGGGGGTCCCTCCTCTGTCCTGCTCAAACCCCCTCCTCTGCACCTCCCCAGGATCCAATGTGACAGAGGCATTTGGTGCCCAGCGCCGCGTGGAACCGAGGGGGCCCCTGGTGAGCTTGGCATGGGTGCTGTGGGGGAATGACCCACGATGGCTTTGGGGAGGCAGGGGCGCCAGGCAGTGAGGCAAGGAGGGGCACTGGCCCAGGCTGCAGGTGACAGTGTCTTTGTCCTCCAGGTAAACTCTGAGTACTACACAGGTTGGCTGGACTACTGGGGCGAGGCACACGCCAGCACCAGCGCAGCGTGGGTGGCCCGGGGGCTGGAGGACATGCTGCAGCTGGGAGCCAGCATCAACATGCAAGTAGTCAGCTGGCAGAGGGCACAGCCACCAGGGCAGTGGGCATCACCTCTTGCCTTCATGCCACTGGGATCAGGCCAGCAGGGGCTGTGGGTGCTAAGGGGAAGGGGCAGTGCCTGGTGAGCCCCTGCTGGGTCTGTGGGGTTGCTGACCAGGCCTGATGAGCCCCTGCTGTGTCTGTGGGGTTGCTGACCAGGCTCTCTGGGTGTATCACAGGTACATGTTCCATGGAGGGACAAATTTTGCCTACTGGAGTGGTGAGTAGAGCCTTGCTCTAGGGAGGGAGGGGCACACTGCAGGGCTGGGGGCTTTCCTTGGCCATCCCTGAGAAACCTGCTTCAGGCTCTTGTTCTGTCCCATGGGGCAGGTTGACACATAGTCAAAGGCCTTGAACCCAAGCTTGTCTTCTCCTGGGGACTCCTTTCATGCCTATGCAGGGGCTTACAGTTCTGGGCCATGCCTCCTCCCATTGCACTGCAGCCAGAGCCCCTTCCTTGGCCAGGTGCTGACTACAAGGGCCAGTACAAACCAGTGACCACCAGCTATGACTATGATGCCCCCCTGTCGGAGGCAGGAGACCCCACTGAGAAGCTGTTTGCCATTCGCACGGTCATCAGCAAGGTAACAAACCTGGCAGGAGTAAGGGGACAGTTCTGGGCACTACTGCTTGTGTACCAGCAGGGCAGGGGACAGCTCCCTCCTTGCCATGGGGCAGCTGACAGTCTACTGTTCAGTTCCAGCCCCTGCCAGTGGGCCCGATGCCACCTGCCACCCCCAAGTATGCCTATGGCTGGGTGGCCCTGCGCAAGGTGAGTGCCCATCCTGACGGCCGTACTGCCCCAGCGTGGCGCTGCTCACCTGCCCAGCACCCATCCCTCTCTTTGAAGTATGCTGACCTCCTGGATGTCTTGGATGTGCTGTGCCCCTCTGGGCCCATTCAGAGCCAGTTCCCTCTCACCTTTGAGGCCCTAAAGCAGGTGAGAGGCTGGGTGGACATTTGAGGAAATGCTCCTGTCTGCCTGGCCCTGGCTCTGGGGCAGAGGAGCAGAGCTCACTTCCAGCTCCATTTCCCTTCCTGTGCCACTGCACTGTGTCCTGCAGGTCCATGGCTTTGTGGTGTACCACACACAGCTGCCCTGGGATGTCCCAGACCCAGCCACGCTGGGTGCTCCTCCCCACAGCATCTGTGACCGTGGCTACGTGATGCTGCAGAAGGTGAGGCTACCGGAGCACACCAGTCTCTGGGACAGTGCTCCAGAGGGCTCTGTCAGTGGGCAGAGTGGGGCTGTGCCATCCCAGGGTCTTGGGGACAGCCAGGGTGACAAAAGCCATACTGAGCCTTTGTGGGCTGGCTCTTGGGCCCAAATTTGCCTCCTTTGGGGACAGAGAGCAGCCCTGGCTCTGGCAGCAGGGTGCTGTGTGCCTGCTGGCAGTGTTGGGGGTGGTGTGATCCAAACATGGGCCAGCAGCAGTGGCTTTGTGGCTTTAGGAGTACCAGGGAACGCTGGAGCGGGACGGGCAGACCACACTGCATGTAACGGGCAGGGCAGGGGACAGCCTGGACATCCTCATGGAGAACATGGGCAGGATCAGCTTCGGGGCCAACACCAGTGACTTCAAGGTAAGGGGAGAGCGCCCTGAGGCTCCAGAGGGGATGGCCTGGCAACCCATGTGACCAAACACCGTCTCTACTGCCACCTGAGACAGAGTCCAGCCTTGGTGGGGCTAATCCCAGTCCTGCTCCCTGGTTCATCTCAAACCTGCCAGGACAGGGCTCAGAGACTAGCACCCCTCTCCCACTTAGGCTGCCACAGCTGCCAGAGCTCTTTGCTCCCTAGAGGGGATCCCATCCCACCTTCACTGCTGCCAGGGCTGCCCCAAGTGTCCTGGCAGATACTGCTGCTTCCTTTCCCCTCCTGTTCCATCTCAGGGCTTGCTGGGAAACCTCTCACTGAACTCCAGGCCTCTCAGCAACTGGCTGATCTACCCCCTGGCCATAGACACCGCAGTCCAACAGGGCTGGCCCCACACTGCTCTGCCAAAATCAAGCAGTGGGGGCCGAGTGGGGCCAGCCTTCTACACTGGGACCTTTGAGACACCTGGCATTGCCTGGGACACCTTTGTGAAGTTCCCAGGTTGGAGCAAGGTAAGGCACTGCATGACTGGGAAAGGGATAAGAGTGGACCAGGACCCAGCTCAGTCCCATCTCCATCATCTTCCAGGGACTGCTGTGGATAAATGGCTTCAACCTGGGCCGGTTCTGGAGCTGTCGTGGGCCCCAGCAGACCCTGTTTGTGCCTGGCTTGGTGCTGCACGCTGGCCGCCCCAACAACATCACAGTGCTGGAGCTAGAAGGGGCACCTCCCACGCCTCTCCTGCTCTTCCTTGACCAACCCCTTTACAACAGGACACTTGGCTGCAGCACCATGGCCATGGAGTAAACACTGCTGGACACTGGCCTTGCCTCTCACTGGGGCTGGGGAGATGGCAGGGGGCTGATGAAGCACAGAGGCTAAGGGGAGTGGCACAGGTCCTGGCACAGACCTTTGGGGACAGGCAGGGCCTGTGATAATGACTAAGGGACCCAGGACTCCGTTTGATTTGCATGTCTATGCCACATAGTTCCCAAATAGTTCCAGTGACCATGCTGATTCCCCCATGGCTAGGGGGCAAGGCACCTCTTTATTTACAATGTAGGCAGAGGAAGTAGCTGCTAACATAATGGCCGAGATGCTGATGGCAGCCAGGACAGGAGAGGTAGAAGCACAGCCTTGATGGTGTCCACAGGCATGGCTGGAGGTAGCTCAGGGCTGCAGGGTCTGTATGTGTCAGGATCTGTTCTTACACCTACAGGTAGCAACCTGTGAGGTAGCCATGAGAAAAGTGGGCAGCAGGACCCCTGGCTGAAGCCAGGCCACCAAACAGTCCCAGCCCTTCTCACTAGCACATGGAGACCTCTCAGTCATTAACTTTGCCAGAGTCACTACCCAGAGTGATATCCATGCCCAGAGAGTGACATGGCCAGCTCAGTGCCTCTGACCATCGCTGCTGCACAGGTTCTCCCTTGCTGCACAGCCAGTGCTCAGCCATGTCCCCACCACAGTGGTCCCTGGCAGGTGGCAGCAGCCTCCAGTGTTAGGTGTGGCCAGCCTGGGCCCGGCGGTGTGTTTGCAGGCAAGCCGTGGAGCAGAAGGAGAAGTCAAGGTAGTGGAAGGGGATCCGTCCCAACAGGGACTCTCCACACTGCCAGCAACGGCTGCAGAAAAGAGCAGAGCTGGCCCTGAGCAAAGGGAACACTTGCAAAAGAATTAGTAGAGGAAAGGGTTCCCTGCCTGGACTTTGACACAAACACCAGCAGCCTGAGGGAGCTGGGGCTCCTGCTCTCACAGGGCTGATGTGCTCGCCCAGTGGCCTGGCCAGGACATGTTCCCAGGGGGACATGGTCTGTCAGAGCATGATGTGAGGTACTCTGAGGCAGAATGAACATTCAGAGACTTGGCCCTATAAAGGTTGTAAAGCCCTTGCCCAGGTAAGCATGGGGAATGCTGTCTGCCAACAAACCTGGTGGGGTGGCAGAGGAAAGTAACCAGGGACACAGGAGTGGCTGGGGCGTTGGCTTGCTGCAGATCTGGCTGCAACTGGACCAAGTCATCCTTAGCAAAATATTTCAGGGGAGCAGGGCAAGAGAGGGAGGAAACTTTTACACAAGCACTACTGGGAATTGAGTGGTCAGGAATAGCTTTGGACTGGAAATGAGAACTGGAGCAAGAAAGGCAGGAAACAGCTGTACTGACATGGGAGGATTTGTCTTCAGAGCCATGCTGCTGGGATGGTTACCTGATGTTGGCAGGAGTCGTGCTGGCGTCCTGCAGCTGTGCAGCCAACCTCCTCTCAGCAGCCAGTGCCCTCTGGGGAGCAGAGACAGCTCAGCCCTGCAGCCCAGGGAGCTGCTGTGCCCAGAGCCCACCACATCAGCACTGCCCTCTCTGGGCTGGATCCCCTTCCCAATCCTTACCTTCTCCCTGTCAGACAGGGCTGCAAACCACTGCTTCCTTTCCTGCTCCTGCTCCTGGCGCTGCTGCTCCTCCCGCTGTGCTTGCTCCCGTTGCTTCCGCTGGGCTTTCTGTGCCCGCTTCTTCTCCAGCTTCTTGGCCTCCATCTCCTGTGTCAGGGGCCCTGGCACCTGAGGGCAGGCAGCAGCATCTCCCACTGAGCCGGGGCAATGCACGAGTGGGAAGGGAGAGCTTTGCTCTGGGGCTCCCCTGTGGGTGAGGGCAGCGGGCAGCACCCACCTTGGCACGGCTGTAGTCGTACTTGTCGGGATGGGCCACCATGAACTTGCGGAAGGCATTGCGGGTCCGTCTGTCAGCAGAGCTGCAGTATGGGGTCCTCTCCTGCCTGTCCCTGTGAGACAAGGGAGACCATCTCGCTCACACTGCCATCCTACTGGCTGCATCCCACTGGGCTGTGAGCCCAGAGACCCTCCAGAGATGAGCAGTGTGTACTGCAGGCCACAGTATCACAGCCAAGGAGGGGGAAGTTCCTTATTCCTATACAAGAATCCTCCAAGTCCTTCTTGCCTCTCAAAGCCCCTGCATGGGGCTTTTGTCTCATCCTGGCCCTTGAAATAGCCCACCAATAAACCTGGGTGCACTTTGAGGCACTGCCCACCTGCTGCCATGCCAGACCAGGCAGGCAGAGAGAAGAGTGGTTCACCTCCTAGCCCTCCTATAAAAACCCCGACCTCCCAGGTCAGAGACCAATACTAGCTGTCCCAGGACAAGAATGGCACCAGTTTATTGTGGCTGAGACAAGAGTGAGTCACTGGACTCCCACAGCTGAGGTTGTGAACCACTGGGTGCCCTGCAGCCATACCTGAGGGCAGGGTCCGCTCCTGCCTCCAGCAGCAGACACACAACCTCAGCCCTGCCAGCCTGAGCTGCCACGTGAAGCAGGGTGCAGCCCTGCTCGTCCACGGGCTGGTTCAGCAGGGAGCGGGCCATATCCAGAGACTGCCCATCCTCACTGTGCTCTGGCAGGCCCCCATTCTCTGGCACTCCCAGGAGGTGTCGCAGTGTCTGCACATCCCCTGTCTTGCAGGCAGTGAACAGAGCGTCGCAGAGCTGGGTCTGAGGGTCTCCTGTGAGGGAAGAACAGGAGGGGAGTCCGATGGGCAGACTGGGCAGAGCAGCACTCTAGTCTGACCAGGGAACACACACAATGCCTCAGCTTGCTAGCTGGATTTGGGCACTGCAGGATCTCCAGCACCTGCAGAGTCTTCAGCCATGTGCTATGGCATTGCTAGGCACTGTTGTCAGCAGCCAAGCCTCCTCCTAAAGCAAGACCCACTCCAATCCCCCCAGCACACCTGGCTTAGCCAGGTGCTGCCTGCTGCCCTTGGCTCCAAACACACAGCTCACTCAAAGGCACTTGACTGCACTAAAGACTTCTCAGACCCAGCCATTCTGGGTATCTGCATGACAATGTGCCCTTCACCCCACTGAAAAGCAGCAGTAAATGGGGCGGGCATCCAGCCAGCACAGCTCCAAACATCATTTACCTCCATTGCTCCAGGGAAGCAGCCCAGCCTCAGCCTCCCCCTGCAGCTCTGTCACTGCCTCCAAGCCAGGCTGCCCATCAGTCTCTTTACCACAAGGCCCTGCACAGGCAACACGTGAGAAAGAGGGTCAGAGTCAGCCTGCATCCCAGCCATGCCTTCCTACACTGCCCCTGCCAGTTCTTCCCCTCACCTTTCTCCACCTTCTTGTCCCTCTTCTTCCTCCTCTTGCGGTTTCGCTTGGGCATCACTTCAAACTCCCGGAGGTGCAAGGTCCCCAGTGTCACTTCCACAGTCTCCAGTTCCCCTGCAGGGCTTTCTTCCTCCTCTTCCTCCTCCTCCTCTGGGGCTGAGGGGGGTGATAAGACTGGGGCTAAGGCTCCACACTCAGAATTAATCACTCATGGCTCTAAGCCAAGAACACCTTGTCTTTCTCCTGTCCAGCCACACTCCGAAGCTGCAAATCTGGCCCATGCCATAACATCAGACTCCTCCTGCTTGCTCATAGTCATGTCTCCCTTCATGGTTCAACTTACCAGTTGTGTCCTCCTGTGGGGGATCCACCTCTGCCTTCTGCTGCCTCTTCTGCCAGACCTTCCTGGGGAACCCAGTGATGTCCTCCAGTGGCGTGTCCTTCCCTGGGCAGCAAGGGTGCTCCCGTCACTACCTGGGGACAGGGAGCACCCCATGTCTCCGGGGTCTGAGGGCTGAAGAGCTAGCATCTCCACCCCATAGGGTAGTGTCCCCGAATGCACGAGGGACCACGTCACCCCACCTGCCGTGACCCATGGGCACGAGGGCTGGCCCAACTCACCGTACACCTGCAGGCTGGCCAGCGCGGCGTGGACGCGCAGCACTTCCCGCAGGGTGGCCCTGCGGGTGCTGAGGGGGATGTGGCAGATGCGAGGGTCCCCTCGAGTGAGGGGAGGGTTCCTGCCACCGAAGAGCAGCGCACGGTTGTGATGAGGGGCCCGGAGGAAGATGCGCTGAGCTTCACTCAGGTGCTGTGCCCAGGCTGCCAGGAGGTCCTGAATATCCTGGGGAAAAAGGAGAAGCTTTATGAGATCCTGAGCACACTGTGTAGGCAAACATAGCTCTTGAGCAGGGACAAATTCAGAAGAGAGCAGCCTCAGTCAGACCCTGCCCTTTTTCCAGAGCCCACCGCCCCTGCTATGCCTTCCAGCAGCAGCGTGGCAGAGGCAGCAGGAGCACTCCCTGCCAAGTGCAACCTCACCTTGAGCAGAGCAGCCTCGTTGTAGCGGCGCAGGGAGGCCCCAGCGGATCTGGGGGCTGAGCCCGGGGTCTGGGCATCCCGAAGGCCCTGCGCTGTGCCCCGCCGCGCTCGCACCGTGTACCGGTGGAAGGTCTTGTGCTCCTGCACCTGCAGGCTGTGGAGAGGGGCAGGCATGAGCCACAGAGCTTAGTGTGTGTGGCATTAACATGCAAGAGCAGCTCCAGCTGCCTGTGCCCATAGGCACAGTCCTGCTGTGCCCCATACTCACCCCCGGAACACTGCTCCTGCGAAGTGCCCGCCACCCATCATCAGCACAACCCAGCACGTGCTTGCACTGAGGCTCTGCAGTGATGCTGTCAGCTCCAGCGGCTCCTCAATGTCACCCTGATACGCAGACACCCTTGCTAGTACCCATGGCATTACCTCCTTATCTCCTGCTGTCCCCAGGACAGAGACCAGCCTCTGCGCTAGCACCAGAAGCAGGCTTCTGGGAGCACCCCAGAGCCAAATAACAGCCACCAACAAGTCTGGGCCTCTGACCTGGCACCAGAGTCCACCCTTCCTACCACAGCAGGTAGAGATGTCAGAAAGACACCTACACCCGAGTGTCACCACCCTATCTGGACTCCCTCTCCCAAACAGCTGGGCTGTGACTTGCCTTCCCAG